TTTTTTTTTTTTTTAATTCTTAATTGCTCCTGATCATAGTTGATTCAACTCCCCAGCCTTCGTGTAGAAAACTTTCTCTTTTCAAGGTCATTCATTTTCATGACTTTCCAGAAGGAAAAACCTAGAACATAGGCAGTAGGGCAAAAACTTAATAGAATATTTTATACCTTATATGAATTTAAACATTCAAAATACCAGTGAAACAATTGATATTGGTATGATATACATGCACAGCATACTTGCATTAAAATGATAGGTAAAACATAGTCCACAGAGTTAATGAAAATGATAATAGTAGTATGCTGTCACTTCATAAAAGAAGCTCTGGTTAAAGCATTGGCTTACTAACCAAAAGGTTGGCAGTTTGAACTCACCAGCCACCAGAAGCAGTGTGCTTCTGAAAGATTTACAGCTTTGGAAATACCGTGGGGCAGTTCTACTCTGTTCTACAAGGTTGCTATTGTCAGAATCAATGCAATGCAGTGGGTTATGTTTTGTCACTTAATAATCCTTACCATGTGGCAGTAACTGTTCTAAGCATATAACATAATATGAACTAATGACTTCTCACTGCAAATCCGATCAGTTAAGTACTATTCTCATTTTCACTTTTTAAATGAGAAAACTGAGGCACAGAGACTTTAACCACTTGCTTAAGATCAAACAGGTGGCAAGTTTCAGAGTCTGAATTTCAACTGAGGCAGTCTTGATTTCAGAATTCATACTCTTAATAATTTCACCGTGCTGCCTAAAGTCAAGGTAATACATAGTTGCTCTTGAAATCAAGCATATTTTTTGTATTTTAAGTTTATTGCCTTTAAATTGTAATAATTGTTTAGAGACTGCACAAATAAAACCAAAAGGTTGGATTCTTGCCTTCCAAGCATTTCCATAATAGGAGATATAATAAGAGCAGTAGGAAGACAGCTTTTATTGTAAATTAAGAAGGTAGTGGGATGATGTAGGAAGCAACTAGTAGCAAAATACCAATCACTCTATGTTTTCCTGTTGGATATACTGTGTCAGTTGCATTGTTCAATGCCCCATCTATAGAAAGCTCCCAAAATTCTTTCTTTGAAGGCAGTTTGTTATAAGTTATCAGTAAAAATCTACAGCACGTCATGCTTCCCTTTCTTGTGTCTTGGTTCCCAAGGAGCGCAGAGCTACACTTTCTTCTCCTCACTCGTGACAGCTCTCTTCATACCAGCTTTTCTGGTACACCTATCTATCTTGTTCAACTAGCTTCAGTGCTGATTTTAATAATCCTGTTGAAACCCAGTGGGGTCACTATGAGTCGGAAAGGACTCAATGGCAGTGAATTGTTGTTGTTGTTGTTATTGGTCTTTTATGAATCCATTTTGAAAGTTGGGGTGAAAACAAAAATTATGTGTTAAAAATGTCTCCAATTTGCTTTCTACTTGAGAACCTTGAGTGAAAAGCCAGATAAGGCATTGAGGCCCTATGGAAGCCTGTAAGGCTCCATTTTGCCCATTTAACTTGTGAATGAAAATAACAGTAGCAAGAATCCTAAGAAAAATCCATGGCTAGTCTGTGCTTAAGAAAGCCAAGTATGCTCTGAACGAACTGTCCATAGAAAGGCACACCCAAACACACATAAAAAGAAAATTGCTTTTGTGAAAATCTGAATTATATGGTAGTTGTAGACTCAGCATTTCATCTGATTTTATAACAAAAAATAAAAAATAAAGTCCTTATTAACTCATGAGATTACCACAATTATTTATAGGCAGGAATGAATTAAACATTTGTGAAATTGAACATTTAACCATGCATTTTCCAAGATTTAAGATCTTTTTGTTTTGCATCTCCTCTATAAATTTCTACCATGTGGAATTTTTGTTATGGATTCCTTCCCTATAATAAGAATTCACTTTCATGGTTCACCAGCTGCCTTCCTGTTTGTTTCTTCAACTATTCAGATATAAGTGGTCCATAATTCAAGCACCATTGTCATTTAAGTGTTTATTAAAATCGGAGCTTGAAATTTTTGTATTGAGGTCATATACATTCTCTATTTTCTGATCTGTCAGACTCAATAATGACTGAGTTAGAGTTTTAGGAAATCAGTTTAGGACTATTGTCCATCCATACACCTTTGCTAAGAGCATTTTGCACACAAGAATGTCTGCTTGGGCTTTGTTCTCATATTCCCTGTAGTCACTGGGACTTAAAAAAAAAAAAGGAATCACAGTACCCAGAGATGGCAAATGAAAAGGTATTTCTTTCCCATGGTATTAAAAAAAAAAAAAATCAAATGTAATGAGGTTCAAGTAGAAGACTTGTTAGTGAAATAAAATAAAACATGTTTTGAGTAAGTCATATTTTTAATTTGAGAAAGTATAATATTCATTAACCTTCCCACATGTCAGGTTAATAAAGTTTGATACATCACCAACACATCTTTGTTTCACTGCTTTTCTTTTCTGTACAGAAACGGACCAATGGACTTCGAAGAACTCCCCGACAAATGGATCCAGGTATGTTTCTGATTATACAGTGTCTAAACAATCTTTGGGAGCTCTGGTAGCATAGTGCCTAAGGCATTTGACTGCTAACCAGGAGACTGGTGGTTCAAACCCACCAGCTACTCCTCGGAAGGAAGGTTGGGCAATCTACTTCTGTAGTGATACTGCCTCGGAAATCAAAGGAGGGGTTGCTAGTAGTTGGATCCAACTCAACGGCAGTGCGTAAACAAGCTTTGGTAGTGTAGTAGGTAAGGCATTTATTTGACTGCTAACCAGAAGGTCAGTTTCAAACCCACCAGCTTCAGGAAGAAGATGAGGCAGTCTACTTCCCTAAAGGTTTACAGCCTTGGAAACCGAGTGGGGGTCACTATGAGTCAGAATCGACTTGATGACAATGGATTTTTTGATATATTGCTTTCCATTATATCCCCAGCATCTAGTACTATGCTTGAGACATAGTATAAAGCTCAATAGATATGTGTTAAATGTTTGTTAAGGAGCCCTGGTGGCACAACAGTTAAGCACTTAGCTATTAACCAAAAGGTTAGTGGGTTGAACCCACCCAGTGGGTCCACAGGAGGAAGAGCTGGTGATCTATTCCTGTAAGATTACAGCCTAGGAAACCCTACGTAGCGGTTCTTCTCTGTTACATGGAGTCACTATGAGTCTTGACCAGCTGAGTGGTCGTGACAGTACATGATATTTGCTGTAGCTGATCAGGCATATTATTGGGTTTTTTTGCATGCAATTAGTGTATAATATGTGACCAGGAGCTTGTGGCCTAATGTGTAAATTATTCACCTGACAGTGCTTCCAAGGACAGGGTCACATGATGAAAAACCACCAGTACAGTACCCTTTTCCATAATGAGCCTGTTGTTTGCTTACTAAACAGCCTCAGGATAACTGGTTAATGCGAACATGTCTGACCCCTTCCCCTGCTCCCTCCCAAATCTGGAATGAAAAGTTGGGACTTATAAACTAGCATTTTCTAAAGGGCAGGGAGGAAGTAACCCGGACAATTTTGGTACCCTCTGCATTTGGGAATATACTTGTCTTCATCCTCAATCTATATTGTTTTATAACAGAAGTACAGATTTAAGGGCTTTGTGAACAAATGTCCTCTGTGGAGACTAGTTCTTTGCATGCAGAGAGCATTCAGTTGTTTTCTATTTAACATTGTGATATTTGCTCTGTTATTTTTGTATATTTATTTTTCATCTATTAAGCAGTGCCTTCCACAGTTTAATTACCAGAGGTTTGTTCTGTATTTGGTCATATGATTGTGGGTGAAAGGTATTCATGATTAAAGGATTCCAAATATATGAACTTGATAATAAATCAAACATAACATAAAATAACGAGTATCCTTGCTAGAAAGTAGTCTAGATTGTATGTTTTGTTTTCTTTTCATACCCAGTGTGCACCTCATTGTAAAGTTTAGCTTTCAGAGTGTTATGGCTTTTAACCAAAACCACACCCATGGTAGCCATGCCAGTTTATGAGCTGTTTGAGAAGATTTATAGGAGCTTTGTTGCCTCTGGCTAGAAATTGCCTCACTTAAATCCTGAGATCAGTTTAAATATTTTAACTACAGAACAAAATTGAAGCCTTTAAAAAGCAGAGGCTTTGGGTTACTTTTTAATAGCTATCACTTTCCCAAGACAATAACCTGTGTGGTATGTTTGTAAGAATATACAGAATTGTTTTTCATTGAAAACCAAAACAAGTCCACTGCCATTAAGCCAGTTCCGACTCACAGTGACCTTCTAGGACACTGTAGGACTCCTTGTTTCCAGAACTGCAAATCTGTACGGAAGCAGGCTATCTCACCTTTCTCCCATGGAGTGGCTGGTGGGTTTGAACCTCCAATCTTTTGGCTAGCAAACGAATGCTTTAGTGACTATGCCACCAGAGATCCTTGTTTTATATTAGGTGTAGTAAATTTATGATTGTGTTTCTCATTTTTCTTAATTTTTTTTGGAGGGGGAGTGGAAACACAGTTGATGATCTTGATGTTTACTGTTGTAGATGCTAATATGGTAACAGCTATTTTCCCCAAGCTGTGTTTTGGTGTTAGGCTGGAATTATGTGTTTAAGGTTGGTTGTTATTCACTTCTCTGCCTCTTTTAGCTGGTGGCTCTGGCATGGCAGGCACATTGCAAAGTTTTTTTGTTCAAAGTCAACCCTTTCTTGATGATAGTTTTGCTGAGTTCATCTGATATGTTATTGATTAGTAGATTTCTACACTTTCTACAGGAGATATTCCACCCCAAGATGTTTAAACAAGGGGTTAGTAAAATCGAGGCAGCCTCAGCCTGGACAAACTGCTGCCAAGGAGCATTATTTGTTATTAGTGCTTTTACCAAGGAAGTTCCTTCTTTTTTTTTTTTTCCCCCTCTTCTGGATAAGTTAGTTGACATCTCCGAATACTGATACACTGTCTACTTTCTAGGGATTCACTTAGGGTGGCATGTAGGAAAAATAAATAAATAAATAAACAATTTAGGAAGCCAGGTAACCATTTCATCAGTTCCAACTTTCAGACCCATGTACAAAAATAAGTTTCACATTTTTTTTTTCATTGACTTGCTTTGAAAAGTAAACTAATACACAGTTCTGTAGGGTTCCCACCCACTTAGTTTCCATCAAATTAATTCTGATTCTTGGTAACCCCATGTATTCCATAGGATTTTCAGTGACTTGATTTTTTAGAACTAGCTCACCAGGTCTTTCTTCCAAGACACCACTGGGGGAATCTGAACTTCCAACCTTTTGGTTTGCAACCAGGTATGTTAGCTATTTATATCACCCAGGCACTCCTCTGTGGGTCAAAAAAACAAAAAAAACAAAACTCACTGCCATCGACTTGGTTCTGACTCATAGCGACTCTTCCTTAGGTTTCCAAGGCGGTATCTCTACAGAAGTAGATTGCCCCGTCTTCCTTATGAGGAGTGGCTGGTAGGTTGGAACTGCCAGCCTTCTGGTTAGCAGTCAACTGCCTTAGACACTACGCCACTGTGGGTAGCAGGTTTAATAAATATGTGTTAAATGAATTAATGAATGCCTGTATGCTTTTTCTATGTGTTGGCTGTCTTGCTTTTCACATTCCTCCTGCTAACGAACTAATGGAACATGATATGGGGAGCGTGGCTTTGAGTTATGTGACCTGGGCTTGGGACTGGGCGTGACTATCGCTGTTTGACCTGCAACAAGTTACTTCATTTCTAGTTTATAAAAGACTAACATAGTATTTATGGTACAAAGTTGTTGTGAGGATTAAGTGAGTTAACATATATAAAGTACTAAGCAGCTGCCTACTAGGTAGTTAATGTCAGTGGTAGCAATTATTACAATAATTACTTTGTATTACAGCATAGGATTTAGCATTGGACATTTTGTCAGGAGTAGGAGTAGCGATAAGATTTGCCAGTCATTTCTTTGCAAAATAGCCTGAATTTAATGTTGACTTTTCCTTGATGCACATGCTTTCTAAGCAGTCATTTTCAGATTTGCCATTTTCAGAGTCCCTTTCTTACCTACCGGCTTTTGTGATCTTTTGCTCACCTTTATAATGTTTATGGTAAAATTAACAGTGTTTGTGATTGCAGTAAAGAAACAAAAAAGTCTCAAGGTTGAAAATGTATGCTGTGGAGTTCTATTTAAACACAAGAAAGACTTGTGTTGTAAGTTTGGATTGTGGTTCATTATCACATTTAAAACATTCATTCTTTATTAGTAATCTTTGCAGACAATATTTGCAAATGGCTTTGTTGTTTAGTTTATTTCTTGTTATTTTCTACTGTGTGATAAGAAATTTATCCATTTATAATCTTAAGTGCTTTTATGAATATAATAATGTGTTAGGTGCAAATTCTGGTAGCTTTTTTGGATTTCTTAAATATAGCAGGGTATTTTCATCAGTTTATACTTTTCTTCCTGAGACAGATGTTGGTATCAGGAAAATAACACTTGAAAGAGACAGATCAATTATTTCAGGAACATGGAGGTGCTAGGGCTTTTTCAAGAACATGAGATCATAAATTTCAAGAAAATCTGAGCACTGGTGCAATATTTTTTACCTAAAGTGGCACTCAAGGTCAAAGTTACCAATTAAATTTTAATATGAAGGCTTTAAAATTTTCCCTTTACCTAAGCATTGGAGAGACAAGATTTAGTTTGCTTATGGCAAATCTGTATACCAGAAAAGTTATTCTTTTAACCAAATAATTTGTTTTTAGACTATTGTAAAATTGTCTTATGTTTGTGGAACTCATAGCATCCTATACCTAAATCTGTCGTCACTAGCTTTAAAAAATTCAGACCACTGTTTTGTGTGCTGCCGAAAAATTAGAGGGACAAGATAGAAAGGGTTTAGGTAGCTTACTCCCTTTCTGATCAAAAGTTACTTGTGATTTGTGATAACTTTGAGTAGCACATGAATAGATACTGGTTAAACTGATTTTAGAAAAGAAATAAAAAGAGTCCTTTCTGAAAGATCTTGCTTCTCATGTGATCATTGTTTAACTCTGGATTACAAAGAAGTAAGTGCATGTGGCTTAAAAACACTGTCTTTTTTATTGAGAAGATGTTCTTTCACTGTTTCTTAGCTGAGGCATCTTCAGAGATGGTCACTTTCTCTTTCAGGTGGATAACATTAATATGTAATACCATTCCTATTTATTCTTGTATGGAGAAAGGAATTCAAGAAATCTTTCTTTCATTACTGACTTTGTGTTGTATATGACGTTAAGCACATGCAGTGCCTTTAAGTATAAAACATGAACCCTTTTGACAAAGAATTTATTTCCTAGAGAAGGAGTAGATATAGGTACAAAGTTTGGATTGCATAAATGCACACATATACATGACTATATACAAACACTTCAGTATCTGTTTTCTGTACACTGATCTAGTATGCTAAGGCATAGCATCATAAAGCAATTAGTAAATAGACTGTTAAACATAAAGATCTAATTATGTACTATGTGCAAAAAATGCAAAAGAAAGTAG